TGTCCATATGAGGTGATTGAAAATAACATGGTGCAGGTGCAGCTTAGTCCCCAAAGCAACATCTTTGCTCCACAACACTTTAGAGATATCTAGGGCAGCAGATTTGCCTAATGCAATATGTCATTCCCTTCTATGACTGCTGCTTTCATGAGCATTGATTGTAGGAGTCTAAGTAAAATTAAATACTTGACAACTCTAATTTTTCTTTGTTTATCATGATTTTGTTTATTGGTCCAGTTTTAAGGATTTGGGCTTTCTTTACTTCTAGCTACAATCTATACTGAAGGTTGAAGTCTTTATTTGTTTTTATAAACAATTGGTTAAGTTCTGATTTCTTTGGGTGGGTAACAATGTGTCACCTGGATATATCAGGTTGCTAATAATTTTTCCTCCAATCCTGATGATGCACACTTCTTATAGTCTAAGATTATTTTCTGAACCTACAGATTGAATAGGTATGGTGAAAGATATAACTTGCTGCACATCTTTCCTTATTTTTAAATTATGCATTATTCTCTTATTCCTTCTAATTATTTCCTCCTGATCATTTCTAATTTATGCATGATAACAATGATGCATTCTGGAAGTCCTATTCTTCTCAATGTTATCCACAGTTTGTTATGATCCACGTAGTCAAATGTCTCTGCACAGTCAATAAATAACAAGTAAACATATTTCTGTTATTCTCTTCTTTCAGTCAAAATCCATGTCACGTCAGCAATGGCATCCCTCATGCCAAGTCTTCTTCTGAAGGCAGAGGCCTCAAGACTATAGTCTTACTCATCCCTCAAGTCTGAAAAGGAGCTCATAGCTTTGACTCAGTCCTCAGACAAATAACTAATAAGGTTTATCAGGAAATTTACACTATGCCTCCCACACGCATTCAGCCTATGCATCTATACAGAATTGTGGCAAATAAGTTTTAGAATAGAGCAATGTATAGATCCACTACATTGAACATTAAGGACAAAAGAGTAGAGGAGACAATCGATGGTCTCAGGAACATCATACTCGTACATAAAGGAAGCAAAAGTTCACTACAGAGTTGGGAAAGAAAGGATCAAAATGAATGTCAGAAAAGACTCTAAAACTTGCTCTTGACCCAAGTCAAATTACACATGGGAAAGATGATTAGATAAAAGAACTGTACAGACAATTTCAAATGTTAGCTTGAGAAAAAAAGTAAAACATTATATGCAACGTGCTAAGATCTGAAGTCCAAAAACCAAAAGGGAGTGATATCCCGCTTACCCTTTTCAAGATGAAAGGACTGAAGAAAAAAAAATCAAGCCCAGGCTGAAGTATTGAAGAATTCCATAGACAAAACACTGAACAATACAAGAAGCATCCAAAAAAAAAGCCATGGAGAAATACACAGAATCACTGTACCAAAAATAATCAGTTGACATTTAACCAATTTAAAAGGTGGCATATGAACAACCACCAATAGTACTGAAGGAAGAAGTCAAAGCTACACTGAAGTGTTGATGAAAGCAAAGGTCCGGGAATTAATGGATTACCAAATGAAATGCTTCAACAAACTGAGGCAATTCTGGACACTCAATTATCAATGGCAAGAAACATGAAAGACTAGGCTAAGAGAAGGGGAGAGATCAATGCTTTTGCCCATTCCAAAGACAAGTGACACACAAAAATGCATAAGTTACCAAATAATATCAATAAGGAACATGAGGGTAATGCAGGTAACTTTTTTCTAATTACTTTGATAAATGTAAATGCAGCTGATGTCAAGACTTCTAAAATAATATTTCTTTTACTTAATTTTAAAAGAAAATTTGTTAATTGACTCTTTTTCTAATTGATTGGATTTTCCTTGACAAATTTAAAACCATAGGATTTTATTTTCTCACTACAACAATGCCCATGAATTGTGTTTTCAATTAAGTGAAATTCATGATATATTTCAAACTGAGCAAAAGGAGCATTATTGTATATAATTGATCTTAAATCAAGTGAGTTAAATAGCTACTAAGAGATGAGGAAAGGCAAAAATAGAGACACTTAAATACCAAATATTCCAGAATTTCCCTTGAAGAAAAAGTGGCTATTCTTCTGAGTACAATTTTAGCCACTGCTCTTTTGTAACCTTCTTGAAAAACAATTTTTGTAACAAATTTTATTTTAACCAATCCTTGAGGTTAAGCAAATAATATACAAATAAATATTTCATGTTTCACCAGCTTTTAAAAAGATTTAATTAATTCTGCTCAGCAATATTTATCTTGTTCCAGAAAGAGTTTGCATGGTAATAAATATTTTCCAGGGAAAGAATGATTACTGGGTGGGTTTTATTCAATTTCCAATGTTTTCTCCAGGGCACTCTCTTGGAAATACTGATTATATTTTCTAGAAGGAGGCAATCCGCTGCTGTATGACCAATTATTACAGCAGCATGTTTTGTGAAACTGACACAAAAGGATAAAGCATTTTCTCAGGAAAGTGGCAAGACGAGGCAAACACTCCCACCCACCACCACCCCAATGCTAGACAGCTGGTCTTTTTCACCCTCGACTCTGGCTCTTTATTTTAAAGCATATCATCAGATCAATGTCAGGTCACTTGCAGCTAAATTGGCAGGAGCAGAGACAGTCATTAAAGGGATGCATTCAATAAAGAAAAATCCAATTAGCTTTTGCAGTAGAGAAATCAAATTCATTTCTGGTGCTGGTCAAGGACAGTCTTTGTGGGAAAAGGCAAAGGAGGGGGAGGCCTCAAGATGGTGA